ARAYASWAGAATAATGATCGAACCCGGGCATCTGAACTATAACTCGCATTTTTCGAGCCACMTAATACGTATTAACTCCGATGTGATGAAGAATAGTGAAATGGAAGAGTAGAAGCAAAAATAATATCAATAGGGAATGAAAATTAAATTATGTTGATTCCGTATGTTCAGCTTAATATATTCAGCTCCAGGCAATTTTATTTGGCATATTAGTGCTAGTAGTTTCGATTATTGCAGTCCTAGTTTCTCGAGTAATTACCTGTTAGGCAAAGTTATTCGGAGATGAAGATACATAGGTATCTCTAGGCATCTTTAAATGAGAAAAGCGTTATAACCTTAAATTGGAAATATCCAAATTTTACTTAGAATCGTAGAAAACCAGGATTTATAAAAGTAAATATTAAAAAAGTTGCCTTTGATGTGAGGAATGTGGTAGTTGTAAATAAGGATGTAAATGGATTTCATCAACAAATTTTCTGCGTAATTCTGAGTCACATAATAATTTTTGCAGTCCATGTTTCGTCTTTTGCCAAGAAACTAAAACAATTCGCAATCGTATTACACCGGTAATTCTTGCCGTTACAAAACTAATTAACTTCATAATTACCATGCTATATTTGGAACTTTGCAATACAAACTATGAAGCAAAAAGAGCCTGCACAATTTCCGCTGATAAAACTCGCATTAACTTTGCCTATTTCAATTTACCGTTAAATATTCTCCAATGCTGCACCTCAAATTAAAGGCAAACCGAGGAGGAAATTACCTTCATTACATTCCATCTGGAAACATCCCAGAACTGTGGTTGTAATTAATGAAAAATTAAATTGTCTGATGGGCACCAGAAAATAATGAGTTTTCTTACATCGTGCGAATTTAATTTTCATATAGTGACGAAAATCATAATTGAAACGGTTAGTGAATCATCAACAGAAGTTATTAACACTTACTTCAGGTTATAAAATTTCCAGCCAGAACGTCCAAAATCTGCATTAAAACCAATAAAACATGATGATAAATCGATAGAATATTTCGTAGTTTTCATATGAAGAAAATATAGAAATGTTAACTGCAATATTTTCGTCTCCTTATAGGACAGTTGGTGTATTTAGACATAGGAACTATTCCAGCAAGAGGTTTTATCCTGGTTTCAAAGGTCTTCAAGTAAAAAACATAACTGCTTTTTGGAAACTGTCCCTTTCACACTTTTGATGCAAATAAAATTCTAATTTATTTGCCACTCTAACACTTGCTGTAATTGATAAATATTTCAGAGAAGCGAAGTTCATACTATGAACATATGTCAGACTAATGTTCTCCTGTTAATCACACTGAAAATAAATGGATGTGATTTATGATTGCAGTTTGAAAACTCGTTCAGTTTTAACTCATACATTTTAATTTTATTTGCAGTTGTTGTTGATGTTGCAGATAAATGAGAAATATATACAAAGCAGCAACGAATTATTGCTTTTAGCCATATGTAATTGCGTGTGACCTATAATTTAAAGTTGATTTAGATTATTTAATTTGGCAAATATTTAATATGTAATTAAAATTCAAGCAAATGTTTAGGACTGGTTTTGAACTAAAATCGCAAAATTTTAGTTTGCTGACAGAAATAAATTCGGAAAATTACCAGAAATTTTGCGCCATTTGATTTTCCAAATTAAAATCATCATCATCTTTTTCTGCTGAATTCAAAAATAGCTATTTTTGCCGCTAAGTTCACAGAATATTTTCCGGGTGCTTTCTTTGCTGGTAGAAAGCTTCTCAGGTCAAAATTTCCATGCGGTACATCGTTTCTTTAAGCATATAACTTTATTGTCAATTTCAAAGTCTGAGATCAAACTGAACATACATATATTATCTTATAAAATTCAAACTTCTCATGTGTTTTCAGTAGTTTGAATAGTTCCCAGTATCAATAAATTATTACTTCATTTACCTAATCTAATAGCCAAAACATTTCAACATTTTTTACAAATGTTTTTTTAAATAAATTGTATGCCATGACTAACATACAATGACAAAACCTTATAAAAGGCTTCTCCATTATGCAACCAAAACAGAAACTACTAGAGGGAAGGAAATTGCCGTCATTATATTGCGCCTAGGAACCTCACATTAATGAGACTTTAATTAAAGAAAATATAAATTGCATGATAGCAATCAAGAAATAATTACATTTCTTTTTGGGGGCTTCTTTACGAGCCATTAACACTCCTGCACAAGTTAATGTAGGCCATAAATTGTCTTAAGACTCTGTCTAAAATTATGTTATACATAGAAACAATAAACCTCTCAACCAGAATAAATAATTGTATTTGTCTAACGTATTAATATAACTGATAAAACGTATATTGCATTTGCCAAGTAAAACATAATGAGTTATTAGAAGATCCATTTGAATTTCGTGAAGCTGCTCAGAATTCCGATCCTATACAGTACTTAGCTGGAATTTTGGAGCCAAAATGTTAAATATTGTTCGAACTGTATGGAATTGTAACTGTAAGATTCAATTTGGGTGCAAAAAATTTCAAATTCCTTATGGAGCGTAACTATTTTTTTATATTTTATTAACTCAGGTTGTTCCATATGTATGAATGCCCATACACGCTAATTATTTTTCAACACAAAGTACACATTTCACTTTTTGTCGGCATTACAACCATAAAATGCAGAATAAATGTTGCCTTGAATACCGCTGGGAAGTAACTAATTCCGACCCGTTCGTAATTTGTACGTGAATTTTCACTCTGATTTCAGTATGATATATACCGCAAACGTAAGATTTACGGTTCCTAAAATGATAAATATTTAAACCAAGCGGGTTGCTAAAATACGGATTTTGAAATTTTCTAGAAAAATAATCGAAACAGAATTTGCGATGTGTAACGGAGCAGTTAAGGGAGCCTGTGATTTCCACATTTTATATCATGTATGTAACCAATCTATTCGTTGTGTATTATCATTAAAATTATTTAAAATCGAGTGAAATGTGTACAACCTTCAGATAAAAATAGACGAAATCGCATGCTTTAAGTCGGTGAATATTGTGAATAACGGGAATCAAACTCAAACAATAAATAATGATGATATAGCAAAAAGCCGATCAAAATCGTAAGGCTTCTAATATAAAAACAAACAATAACCACAGAAAAACATCCAACAGCACAAACTTTCCTCCAAGAAGAAATCCGACAACTATTGAAGTAGAGAAAAAGCAATTGAAAAACAACTTGACAAATGAGGAATATTTTGAGACGAAAAATTACTGAAACGCATTAGAAAAAAGAAAAAACTATCAAGTAACTAACTGTATAGAAGAACAAAATACAGTACGTAATAAGCCATGTAATTGAGTAAATAATCTCAGAAATCAAAAGTGCAGAATGGCAGAAGATACATGGTACTTGAATAAAAATAACAGAGAGAAAATTCTGTATATTCTGTTAACCTAAATAGTGTCTCTAAAAACACCTACTTTATGGTTTGCGGATTATCCCTAACAAAATTTACAAAAGCGATTATTCGTATTACGCAAATCTATTTAATGAATAAAAATGTGAGGCCAAGAGTGTTCCTTTTATATTAAGTATCTGCTTTGCCACAGCGCATAAAAAAGGAGACACAGGAGTTTCCAATGTCCCAAAAAAGCCTTTCCTTGTTCGGAAAGGACATCCATAAAATACGCCATATTCAGTCGCCTGTTTCCTTTCTTTTGTATAATTTTTATTACGAAATCTATTATATTTTATATTAGAGCGGGTTGGTGTGATGTTGCTTGAGTAAATATGTTCCTTTAATATAATAATACTATAATCATTTTATCACTAAAAAACGCAGAAATGTTGTAAAGTCCTTCAAAATAAATTAGTGTTTTGCACATTGAGATGTGTGGTGAAAGTACTAATTAATCAACTGGCACAAACACTCTCCCTGTCACACTGTAGAACTGTTCTAAACTCATGAGTATAAAATGTGGCTTGTGGCTTTCATTAACATGGCTTTAAGATAGAAGTTTCGCCCCAACTAAAATCTGATGTAGTTAAATATTAAATGACTTTGCAAGTTGCATTTAAACTGACGCCGGCTGCCATACTTGCAAGTGGTTTTATTCTTTTTAGCCGACGTTTTATGTCCCAGCTACTCAACTTCTGCAGGTATTTGAAATATGAAAGCTTTAGTTAACTTACTCAATTAAAAAAAAACGTAGCAGTAAGAGACATTCAGATGGATCAATAAAAGAGCTTTAATTAAGTTGACGAATTTCCCAACTGTTTACTTCCAAAGTGCAAATTTAGCACAGATTATGAAGCGAAATCAAGAAGTGCCTCCGACCTGTTTACCCAATCACACACATAATTAGATTATTTTGACATGGCATCTTATAATGTCTGTATGTCTAACAATGTAACTTGTTACGATGAGCAGGGCCAGATTAACATGTGGTAGGGCCCGGGGCTACGATCCCAGCATAGGCACTTTTCAAAAAAAAAGTTTTGC